CTGGAGCATTAAAGCCCTGAACATTATGGGAATTGATTTTCAAGGTCAGAGGAGCCACTAAGGCCGGAGCGTCTGCTCACTTGTCGAACTCAGTGCCATTCACTTGTATATCCCTGTGTACCTTCATACTTCTTAGAAAGCCACTGGGATTGATTCACATTAGGGACATTGAAGCGTTTACTATGCTGTTCGCCATGGGGAGGAGGGTGGAGAGGGATGGAAAGAGGAGGCAATGTATACTGGGCATGCATGATCATATAATCACATACAGAACTCCGTGCTGTGTTCAGCCTTTATCTCGCAGTCGTTTCCCGTACCTCTGAGGAGCCATATACGGTGTGTCAAGCATAGACCAGGGTGGACTCAACCTCTAAGGCAAACCTCAGTGAAATGACGGAAGAGACACAGGGAACAGTGATGTCCAATAAATAGTAACCCCAATCCCCCAGAACCACCCGTGTCCCCATGCAAGCATCTACATAGCACAAGAAGAGCATCGGGAGTTGTTTATAAAGAAATAGTACAGCGTGCAGCATGTAGCGTACCTATGTCAAGGCTGCCGGGCCGGTTTACATTGGCAATGCAAAACAATAGCGTTCCACGAAGTCAACCCCATGGGGTGACCGGTAGGCTCTCCAACTTGTTAAACCTTGAAGCCCGTGCAGTACATCCAGTTTCTCACCGGAGAATATGCTGACCACGGAGGGCAAGGGACCTCCTCACGTGTACCCCAGCACATCCACCGGGTCAGAGGAGCAATTCAAACTCAACAAACCGTTAAGAACGATAATTAGCCCTGCCCAATACACATACATATTTAACCAAGGTCTTTCGTAGCCGTGTAGCCACGGGCCAACATTAGAACTAGTCACAATAGGATCACACTTATACAGGGCACGCAAATTGCATTGGGTAGACACACGGCTGCTACACAACTATAAACTGAATACAACAACAGCCTTCCGTGTCACTTCAGTGAGAGATTCTTGCAAGAGTCCAGCAGGTCTAACCTCATAAGTCCGTCGACCCGACAGTCAGTGTGGAAATAGAGAGAGGGGGCATTGCAGGCTGTAGTGTGCACAGGCCCGTGCAGAGCCCCTGCTGCTCGCCGCTCACAGAAAAACGCCCTAGCAGAGCGAACTGGTGAGGAGGCAAAAAGAGAATCCAAAACTTGATGTTGTGGGCATGGGATCCTAGGATGTTGTGAGTCCATAAATTGGGGGCTGGAAAAAAAAGGGATGGTGGGGGTGGTGTTGTAATCTAGAATGATGGGTACCACTGCATTAGCGGTGCATTACAGTACTCACTGCGGGGAGAGGTAAGGATCTTCTTGTAGGGAGCCGAAAAAAGGTTCAAAGCGCTGTCGTCCTGGACTCACCGGTCCACTAGGGGAGACAAACTCTCAGGTCGGAGGTCTCCGGAGGTGGAATATTAGGCGGCGTCAAGTCGTCATGTAGACCCAGTGAATGCAACAGCCGATGTGCCTCCTCAGGGGACGAAGCTCCGTAAGACTTCCCAGCATGTAGGAATTGCAATTTGAAGGGGTATCCCCAGGTGTAGCGTATATGCTGAGATCGAAGTGAGAGCAAGTAGGGTCGCATGGCCCGCCTTTTCTGTATAGTGAGCTGGCTGAGGTCGGAATAGATCTCATATCTAAAGCCTTGAAAATGCAGGTCCCGACTGACACGAGCTGCCTGAAAGATAGCCTCCTTAGATCTGTAAATTGAGAATTTCACGATCACGTCCCGAGGGGGCCCCCCAGGGCGCTTAGGACCAAGGGACCGATGAATTCTATCAAATTCCATACGCTCGATTGGAATAGCAGGCTGAAGCTCTTGGAACATGGCAGTCACTGTAGATTGCAGGTCCTCCACTTCTTCAGGAATGCCGCGAATACGGAGGTTACCACGGCGTGACCTGTTCTCCAGATCTTCCAGCTTCTGTATCGCAGCGTCTAGGCTGGATTGCAGATTTCCTATCTCAGTATTGTGAGAGTTTACCGTCTCGATGGTAGAGTCAACTTTATCTTCCAATAAGCCAGTGCGATGTCCCAACTCCTTGATCTCTTTAGATAAGTGTGAGTTGATTTCGTCTGTTGAGGCCTTCAGCTCTGTCTGCAACATAGCCTTGAAGCGATACAGGAGCTGGTCATCACTGATATGTCGGGTCGGGGCATCGCTAGCAGGTGAGGGGGGAGCACTCTCCACCGAGGATGTTTCCAACAGGTCAGATGGAGTCTTAGGGGAAGACAGCTGTTCCGAGTACCGGGGAGATGGCTCCATGGTGCACGCGACCGGCGACACGTGTTGGTAGTCAGAGGCTCGTTGATTTTTCTCCGATTTGCGAGGCTTGGATCCTTTTTTTCCCCCCCATGAGAGATGGAAAGGGGTCCAGGGAAAGGCAGAGTAAAAGGTGGAAGGGCAGTTATGCCAAAATATGTAGTAATTAGAGCTCAAGTGCCCGGGTGATGAGGAGCCGAGCTAACACACGTCCTCCATGCTCAACAGCTCAGGCCACGCCAAACACACATTTTTATATAGTGCAGCTTATTACAGCATGGTGGTTAAAACACTTGTAAACCCACAAACATTTTTTATATGTATTGCAGTAATAATAATGGCTGCGTTATGCATTAGTTTTGTTTTTTTTTGGGGGGGGGGGGGGGGGGGGTGTTAGCATTCTCCCTTTCAAAGGATGGTTAAGCTGCAATATATTACATTTTTGTGTTTGGGTTTAGCTATCCTTTACATCTTTAGTAGCCTTGGTGCAATAGGACTCATCATTCAGTTCCCACTAGGAAATCCATGGGTAAAACCTTTGTACATTCACGCAGTTAAACTACATATGGGGTTAACGGTATACTGTACGTTTTTATGAGCTCTGTTATAAATTCAATGTAATATTTTCTTTTATTTACAGCACATTTTATATATCACACTATACTGTATATAGTTATACAGTAGTCAATGATATACAGGGAATTTTTATAACACGATATAGCGTACAAAATGTCAGTCCTTGTTTGCTGTCAGCATGTATGACTTTTCTGTGCAGTGATGCAGTATATGATTTTATCACAGCACAAACCTCATACCTGACATTCAAGTTACATTTAACTATAGCATATGCCTTATATGGTGCATACCTCTTGAGTGATTCATTAGTTAAGTGGTAGTATATGTGTTTCGAGTTGTACAGGTGTCTTGTGTGACATTTAAGTAGCAATGCAATACTGGTCACCATGAAGTATTCTAACCTAGTTTTTTCTCTGCAGTACAATGTGCTTCAACATATAAATACACCATAAAATATTTCAAACAAAGTCAAATGTGTTATCCAAAAGTTCATCACTCCACTGTGACAAAATTCAACAAAGTACTCTATACATCCACCTCAAATTCAAAATGCACTAACCCTGAGTAATGCCTCTCTATTACAGAAAGAGAGATATATATATATATATATATATATATATATATATATATATATATATATATATATAGGACAGGAATACATTAACTGTTTCCCAGAAAATAAGACCTACCCCGAAAATAAGACCTAGTTGTGACCATTCCCAGGGCCGGTGACGGCATAAGGGGGAACTTGAAGAGCCGCGGGAGAGGCAAGAGAGAATCAGCGCTGCCAACGGAGCCAGCGCTAGAGGAAGCGAGACGGCACCGGAGGGAGCAGAGCCGCATAAGCCAATGCCTCCTCTATAGCACCGACTCCTGTCACAGGTGGAGTGATACCAAATGCACTCCGCCTGTGAGGAATCGATAGTGAAAGTGCGCTTCGCTCATTCTGGCCAGCGATTGGTTAGCAAATTGCTCTTGGAAAGGTGCAGCACCCCTGATCACCATATTTTTGTACATGAATACATGTAGACTTTTTGATATGAATAAATGTGGATTGTTGTAAGTTAGAAGAAAAAAAATGAGACCTAGTGTGACCCCTAAAAAAAGACCTACTGTGTTTTTTCTCGCCCAAAAAATATATAAGACAGTGTCTTATTTTCAGGGAAACACGGTGTATACATATACATACACATATATATATATATATATATATATACACACACACACACATAAATATATACACACATACATACACACGCACGCCTCTGCCTTGATATATACTGCAGCCTTATTCACACAGGGCATGTTGCCTTGTAAAGTTTGAAGGACTGGTTTTTTTTTATGCAGGCAGAGGTGCGGGAAGAAGTGTGGCGTGAGCAACTCATTTAATTTAATATAGACACGTGCTGTGCACCTCACACACTGCTTTCCACAGCACTGAGTTTTGACAACTACACACAGATGGTGTACGGCCTCGGACACAGACAGGATGCATCCAGGGCTGTAGGGGTGTGTTGGACCTCTACAAAGATCACTACTTTTACACAGAGAGCAAGGGTCCTCCTCTGCAGAATGCTGACAGGGGACAGGCATTTCTACTCAGTCTGTGGCTGATTTTTAAAGAAAACAACCTGTAAGGCCTCGTTCACATGGGGTGATCTGGCAATTCTGAAGCAGGAATCTACGGATTCTTCTAGCAGGAATGCCAGGTGTCCGGATCAGATGCGGCCATTGTGCCCGTTCACGTTAATTACCAGGTATAAGTGGCCACATCTGTAAGTGGCAGTCTACATGTAATCATATATAATACAATAAAATGCTGTTTGGTGTAGATCATTGTCCCGGAGTGCAGGTTAGATGTGTCCAGCCACAGTCATTCCAAACCATATGTAACGTATCATATACAATTACATGAAACTGCTGTTTCCAGATGTTGTCACTGTCACCCGGTCATTAACTTGCACAGCTGTGGCATCTGATTGAGACACCTGGGATTCCTGTCGCAGGAATCCCAGATTGCCCTGTGTAAAGGGGGCCTAAATTTGCACATCTTTTGTTTTGATGCTCCTGAAATATATTTAAGCCAATTTAATTGGAACATTTAATTGGACTTTAAGGAAACCTTGCATAAAATAGTCTACTTACTCTGAATGAGAATTCAAGGTTTTCTCCTCCCCATACTTCCATGCCCGTATCATAAGATCCCAAGTACTCAAAGTACTTCTTACTGACAGAGAATAATCCACCAGCCATGGTCGGTGACCTAAAATAGCAACATGCAATAACATCAATAAATATACTGACCCACAGCTTCAATACATGGGTAAAACACTGAGAAAACTATATGACTGCAAGCTTCAAATTTCACGAAGGATCGAGTACAACTCCAGCATTCAAAAGCTCTCAGTGTATGCTAAATAATATTATTTCTCTGTTTTAGCAGTTGGGTACCTACAAAATTCCCATTTTCCTAACCAACTTTAAGTTAAGTAAAAGTGGTATGCAATTCTTACTTATCTTTAATCCCCAGCCTGTCTAATCTGCTTAAATTTTAAAAAAACGCACACACCTTGTACATTTTCATCCTAATTAAAACTTACAGATTGTGAAGCATAATCCTGTAATTGGTCAAACTGCATATACCCTACAGGATCTACCTTCTCCCTAACTTGATCCATCAAGGAATGCAACATTCAAACTGAGAAAGATTCTCGTTCTTCCGAAGAAAAAAAAAAAGGAAGGAGCAATTAGGATTGGCAATGTATGTCAGAATACAGAAACCCATAACCAGCTAGATCAAGCAAACTTTATCTTAAGTTTATCGCCTCTTTGAAGGCTGAGATGGACTAAGTAAATAATGGCCCATCTCACTCATTCCAAGATCACAATTAAAGACATTCTTTACATTTCTGGGTCGTGATTATTTTATTTGGGCACAGCCAGTGTAAGAATGGAAATATAACCACAGTATGAACAACTACAAGCCCTAACATTTTAGGCATTCCCACTGCTCTCAGGGAAAAAGTATATACGGTACTTTTTACATTTTTTTTCCATCCCTCATCACAACCTTCCCCCTCTCAGTTGCAGAAAGAACATGTAATATGTATGCAATACTACATATACCTAAATATGCATACAAAAAGGTATTCTCTCCATCAATCAAAAGCCCCTGGAAAAGAGAACATTTTCCTTCAGTTTTTATAGAGAACATAATGCTCAGTCTTCGGTTTACATGGAATCTACTTCAGGGAAGCTCAAATTCCAAAAGAGCTTCATAATGCTCTCTCATGTACCATTCTGCTCGTGTAACTAAAAATATAGGTGTTCGAATACCTTTTCATAGGGATTTTCCAATCCATATACAAACGATGAGGATCACTATTAATACTGATATGGAAAATGTATTACATACTGTATATGCACCAAACA